GGATAATTTTTTCATGTAAATTTAATTTAATTTAATTTAAATTAATTTAAAGTAAATTCATCTTTGCTGTGTCTTTATGTTTTAAGTATGAGTCTTTAGACAGCATACAACTGGGATTTTAAAAATCCAGCCTGACCATTTCTGTCTTTTAATTGCAGAGTTCACTCTGTTTTCATTAATTGGGATTACTGACCTATTTGAATTTATTACACTTAATTCATGCACCTGAAGCTTGATTTTCCTTCTCTTTCTTTTTTTATTTCTCTATCTCCTTAATTCCTTCCAGAGGCATTTCCTGAGCTACTACAATATTGCTTGCATTATTTCTGGCATTGTAGGTCAGACTTGAAGAGGAGAGACAAAACCTTTGCTCTCAAGGAGATTACATTCTAGTGGGAGAGGACAACGAATGGGTAAGTAAATGGGTAACATCTTTAAATAGATGTTAATAGCGATATAAAAATTATATTTTATTCTGTCTTTATTCTTTTCAAAAAATCAGTTTTTCTTCCCAGGCTACAAAAGTAGCTTTGTAATGGGTCTTTTCTCCTATTTCTCCTCTTTTGATGCATATACTTCACTGGTATTCTTATAATTCAAATATTACAAGCTTCAGACCCTCAGCATCTCCCTGTTGACTCTTTCCACTGAACAAAAATACCTTAGCCTGACATTCAAAGTCCTCTACAAAATGGCTTAGCCTATGTTTTCTAGTTCTTTCTTCCATATATCCTTATATATCCTCTATTCTACTCTCCAGCTAAATGAAATAGTTAATTTCTATTACCAAACACATTTTTTTTTCCTGCCTCTTACTCTACTTTCTCATCTCCTCCATTGGATTCTCTCTCCTTTCCACTATTTATCAAAGCATAATTTGAAATGTTACTTTCCCCAAACACCCTTCACAATTCCATATATTTGTATGCTCTCCCTTTTCTGAATTCTATAGCACTATTTTTTACTTTTTTATAGGGTACCACCCTAATTTTTTCACTTATTATAGGGTAAACGTCTTAATGAGAGGATTTTTTCTTTCTCATTTTTTTTCATTTTAATTTTTAAACAGTGCTAGTACACTGTCCTGAAAATAACACAAGAGCAGTAAGTAACTCTTTGTCTTTCAAAATTTTATTTAAATTCCAGTTAGTTAACATACAGTACACTATTAATATCAGGAGTAGAATTTAGTGATTCATCATTTACATACAATGCCAAGTGATCATTGTAACAAGTGCCGTCCTTAATACCCATCACCACCTAACCAGCCCCCTGTCAGCATTGCACTAATGGGTATTTACCTAAAGGATACAAAATACTGATTTGAAGGGACACAGGCACCCTGATGTTTTTAGCAGCATCATCAACAATAGCCAAATTATGGAAAGAGACCAAATGTCCATTGACTGTTGAATGTATAAAGAAGTTGTAGTATATATATCTATATCTATATTTATATAAAATATTACTCAGTCATATAAAAGCAGTAAATAACTCTCAGATTAAATTAACAATTGTGTGTAAGCTTGGCTACTACCTTATATTATCTTTATCCTAACAGGCAAAAATGCCAATAAATGGTCAACCACACAAAAAACTGTTGCCTCATTCTGGAGAAAATTGTTTTGATAAGTAAACACCTCAAATGATTAAACAGCTTCAGTTAAATTGTAAAAATTAAGTAGACAATAGAAATATATTGAAATATATCCATATTTACTTAGTTCAAGTGATGAGTAAAAGTATATCTTGCTTGCTGGGAGTGGGAGATGTCAGAAGGGGAGAAGGGAAAAGCCTGAAGAGTGATTACTTTAGATATGACATATTAAGAGTTCCTTGAAAATGTGGCCACATTATTCACACATTCATTCAACATTTTTCAGGGAACATGTATGAAGTACCCACTGCATGCAAAGCAAGCACTGTGCTAAGCCCAGGGAGTACAAAGATGAATAAGATTTAATATTTCCCTTCAAGTAGCTGGAGCTTAGTGAGAAAAAAGATAAACAAATTGAGGAAAATGTAGTAAGTATTACAACAGAAAGATCTACAAAGTAAAACTGGAGAACTCAGGCAGGAGGCTCTGTAAAGGTTTCAGGTGAATTAGTTCTTCTACTGAAAAAACAGCATGAAACCTGGAAAAAACCAGGCCTTTATACTTCCATAAATACTATGCCCTCTTTAATTTGCAGATATTATAGTGATAAATTGATATTCTAAATAGTATTAATGTCACACTATGGAGGTATCACTACCTTCTGCATGTACTGCTTTAAGATATCTTAAGAACTTCTGATTAAGCATCACAGTGGATGCATGCATTTATTTATTCATCATCCTTAAAAAAAACACACTAAACAGGATGTGAAAGAATTTTAAAAATTATAAACCCATAAAGGTGGAAAAAATAGGAGAGGAAAAGATAGCAGATAAGCAACATCAATAACCATTTCTGAAATGTTGGAAGATAGATGGATAAATTGTGACTGCTTAGCAAATCAAATAAAGCTGAAACCTCATCCTAAACTGAAGGAAGTCAATAGGAAACTGGCAATTCTACCAAAAAGCCCAGAAACTCTCAGGATATAGAAACACCAGATATAGCTGAAGGTGAGATATTAATATAGTGCGGAAATGGTGTATGAATAAAACAAGAGGATTACTTGGATATTTACCTAAGAAATAGACACCAGATCCCTTCTCTTACCCCAACAGAAGATCAGAGGTTTATACTGTAGGGGTTTGTATAGCTAATGACAGGATATGTTCTACTGAGTAACAGGGGATGAAGTACAAAATGCTGTACTGAATGGTGAAAACTGTGGGTCATTTGCTGCCTCAGTTTCCAGAACATGGACCAGTAGGCTTTTACCCTCCAAGCATAAAATTAGAGAAGTCCTCTCTAGACACACTGGAAGGCCCAGAGAGAACATGTAAAATATTAGATTTAGGGTCTCTCAATTAGAAAGCTATGTTACTACCTTATCACATGGTAATAAAGCTTACTAGTTAATATATTTCTATTATAAATAGGCTTTCCAAATAAGTATGAGGCCTTTATTCTTAAATATAGAAAGAGAGCCAAGGATCACCAAACGTGGAGAAATCTTCTAGCAAGCAAGAGGAAAAAAAAAAAAAACATAGATTCTGGAATCTGAATGGGATACTGTTTCTGTACAGAAATATGAAAACTAAAAGATAATTAAGGAAAGTTTTCAAATTGTTGGTGTGTCTGATGGAAAGGGGTAATAGTTAAAGAATAAACACAGAGATGATTAAAGGGAGAATATATGGAAATTCGAATAACTGATTCAGTGTGTTCATCCACTGATCTAAAAGAAAAAAATCCATCATTTTTTAATGTTTAAAGCATGGTTGCAAGAAACTCTGAAAGGAAATATTTAAAATCAATTCTATTGACAAAGTTTTGCTAATTGATTTATTTGAAAAGCTCTTGAAATACATTGACATACTTCTTCAATGACAGCTAGATTATGTAGAAAGGATTGTTGCTTATTGGAGGTGTCATTTGTATCTGATTCTCATTACTGAAATAAATGTTATAGAAATCTTTGAAATTGTGAGGCAAAATAAGAGAAGGAGTATTACATTTAACCTTCCTCCTAAAATAAAAACTGGCTAGAAATTAAAATTCTAGCTATAATTGCTAGGTTCCCTGCGTCTCTCAAAAGTCTAACAATAAAACTTCAACTTGGGCTAGTTTGAGTGGCTACCTCTCCCCTGTAATAAATAATCCTTAATTGGGTATGTGCAATAAAACATAAGCAATAAAAATAGGACAAGATTTCATGGGAAACTTCCCTATTTAGCTACTTAGTGATTGTTCATTAATTAAAAGTCTTTGATTACATTTTTATTCCTACAGGAAGAGTCTGCAAGGACAAAAAGAAACACTTTCTTCTTCACCTCAGTGTAGCTTCAACTCAAATCTTCCTAAAGTTCTTCAAACCTACTAGCTCATAAATTCATACTTCATCAAGGAAGCCTGTCATGGGGAATTGGCCTGCTTTGGGCAAATCAAAAGGAGAAAGCAAGCTACATTGTGGGCCAGGAATGCACAAAAGGTTCAGTGTCCAGTTAAAAAGTAAAATAGATTTATTTAGTAAACACAACTAGCAAACCCTTATTTCCAAAATCAATCTCTTTAACTTTACATAGAATTAGTCAAATTATGCTATTTTCCATAATTAAATAAATTTAACTAGGTTATTATTTTGTCCCTTTCCAGTTTCCAGCAAACTAAGCAAATGCTCATTTCAACACAATGAAAACTCAACAATTGGCTCAAAATTCACAAACCTATGTCTAAAATCAGTGTCTGAATCCCTACAAATAAAAAACATAAAACCTAATCTTCTCCTCAGCAGGAATAATCATTTTATATACCCAAAGTAACCTATCCCAAAGCAAAAAATAACCATTTGCACAAAGTTCACATGGTACAGATACATACAAAAATTCCAAAATTAAAAGCATCAAAAGTTCTAAATTGTTGATGCAACCACTAGCTTAACTAGAAAACATTTCAAAGTTCTGGGTTTCTTTTGAGAAGATACTACCCTGCCTCAAGAGCAGAGAGAAGGAATTCCTAATATGTTACCTTCTTAAAAGCTGGATGAAAGAGATGCTAGTATGCAATGGGAAAGTTTCCTATATATACATTCATATATTTTATGGTCTATCATTTGTTAATATTTAAACTACTTGATAACATGGTGAATTTTGTTTGTTTCTCACTGAGGTAAACCTCTGGATTTAACTCAGGGTCATGTCCATCAAAGCCTTTCTGGGGCAAAAAATGAGCCTGTACACAAAGACAATTCCAAGAAAGATATTTTCTAATCTTAACCAAACATTGTCCTTTCCTCCTCAGCCTGAAAGTATAGGGTAAATTAATTCCAATACCAGAACCATTACAAAATCATTTTAGAAGACCCTTGAGAACAGTAAAATTGGCTTCATTATCTCGGTGTACTCACATATTTTGTGCACAGGCTCAGGACATAAGGAGTCAAAACTACCTCTGATGCTTGCTGACAGATTGGAGATGAACTGGATTCCACAGGGGTGCACATGCCAAGGACATCTAGAAGACAAATGACAAAAAATTAAAATCTCCAGTTTCTGTCTGTGTAGACACAAGAGCAAATCTGAGATTTTAAAACTCTGAGTGTACCATCAAGAAAATCAAGTCCATTTCCCTGTTATGCTCTGTTATGTTTCAAGATTTCATTTAAAAAAGCATCATACTCTGAAACTAGATCTTCTATGTCAAAAATTCACTCCCCAGTTTTCATTTCAAGAGGGATAGAATTTCACATAGGATATTGGCTTTTCATGAAGATTTATACAAACATTTATTGAATATTATAATTAAAACTTTAACTCATTCACAGAAAGAACAACTTAAAATGTCTAGTAGTGTGGTTAAGAAGCAAGATTTGAGGAGCTGGTATCAGCTGGAGTCAAGTGTCTTACATATAAAAATGGAATACTAGCACCCACTTTATGATGAAGATGCGGAAATTAAACTTGACATAGTATTACTCAAAATGCACATATACATAAGAACCACCCTTCATATTCCCTTTGCAGGTGTATCCCTTTTTAATTAATGAAGGCAATTATTGTAGAATATTGTCCCACAGTCAAAAGGAGAAAGATTTAATGGAAAAACAGACTTCAATGAGTTTAGGGACTACCTCAAAACTCAAAATCAAAAATCAGTAGCAGAGTCCTTACAAATAAAAACCAAACAATATAGCACTTGTAACATCTAGTATAAGCAAGATCAAGTACTAGGAGCCACACTATGTCCTGGCAGTTCCCTCTATCTCATACAGTGTCACTGGACAGGTAGAACAGACTCCTCAGCTCTGTATTGTCCTCGGTTTCTCCAAACTCAGAATCAAAGAAAATGATTATAAGTGAATAATTTATTTGAATGCAGTCCCAGAAAATATGATCAAGGGATAAGGGAAGTAAAACCAGAAGAAGAACAAATAAATACAAGGATATATAATCAAGTCGGTGACAATTTAAGCCACTGGTTGCTTAACCTAGCAAGACCTTCTAAGAAGCCTTATGAAACAGACTTTAGGATCATGTCCCCAAAGGAAGAAAAGGAGAACCATTAAACCATAGGTTCCCATTCCACAGAGTCCCAAAGGGTACTCTGAATGTTGCCACCTACGTTGTAATTCCAACTCATGGCTCATGTATGATTGCCAACAGTTTCCTACAGGTGGTCTCATACCATTTGTGAGTGAAGTATTATTAATTTGTATCTACATGAAATAAAACAAAGATTGAATGCAACTAATGGCAACAGCCACAGTTAAAATAAGTATTGAGAATTTAAAATAATGTTGACCTTACTAAAATCAGTGTAATAAATCACATTAATAGGGTTAAGGGGGGGAAAACAGGTTCTGGTTTAACACGGTGACATAGGAAGACTCTGAACTCACCCCTTCACAGAACACACCAAATTACAATTAATATAATAATTCCTTCTAAAGAAGAACTGAGGGCTGACTGAACAGCTACTAAACAACCAAAGATTGAAAGAATAGCAAAATGGCAAGAGACTGAGACACTGTAACAAAGGGATCCCCCATCCCTAGGCTGCCAACTGCAGTGGGGAAGGATAGTACTAAGGGACCAGAAACAGAGCTCTTTATCTTTGGGCACAGAAAAAAAGCCCAGGCTTAAAAGAGAAATTAGCATTTAAGAGACAACATACAACTTCACCAAGTGGCAAAGGAGCTGCAAGAAAGCTCTCCAGATGAGAGGAAATGGAAAACAGTGAGTTTATATTCCCACCTTACTTTAAAAGCCTTTACAAGAATGGGGTCTAAATACTGTGGCAGGCACTCCAGTCCTCTCAGTGAGTTTGCCACTTCAGAGAGCTTAGGGTCCATAAGCGTGTACCAGCTGCCTGTGGTCTGGGACACAGAAAACAAGCTACAATTTTATGGGGGTATGTGGGGGGTTATTTTGTTTTGTTTGTTTGTTTGTTTTTTACTTTTTAAAATTTGTCTTGTGTGGTTTTGTTTTTCTCTTTGGTTTTATCCTTTTCCTGTTCTTTTTGTTTGTTTCTTCTTCACTTTTTTTTTCTTAAATTTTTTTCTCTTAATTTACTATTTTATTATTACTTTTTCATTACTTTTTCTGTAAAAAGCTGTGGTTTAAAAGAGTAACTAGCATATATAGCCATAGCTCCAGCCAGTCTGCAAAAGTCACCACAGTCTGCATAGGGGACACTCTACACAAGACCCTTTCTCCAATTTTAGAAGTAGCCATTTTGCCTAACCCATAGAAACAAGTGCAGAAAGCCAAGCAAAATGGAAAAACCAAGGAATATGCTCCAAATGAAGGAACAAGGGAAAAACCCAGAAAAAGAACTAAATGAAAAAAAGATAAGCAGTATGTCTGTTAAAGAAATTAAAGTAATGATTGTAAAGATACTCATTGAAGAAAAGAATGGAAGAACTCATTGGGACCTTCAATAAAGAGATAGAAAACACTAGAACCAGTCAGAGTTGAAGAATACAATAACTGAAATAAAAAACACACTAGAAAGAATCAACAGTAGAATAGAGGATGCAGAAGAACATGATTTGGAAGACCAGGTAATGGAAAGTACACAAGCTGAACAGCAAAGAGAAAAGAATTTTAAAAAATGAGGATTGGTTAAGAGAGCTTTTGAACATTAGGTAAACACACATTCACACTAAAGGAGTCCCAGAAGAAGAAGAGAGATAGAGGGTGTAGAAAACTTATTTGAAGAAATAACATCTGAAAACTTCCTAACCTAGGGTGTTTCTATATAATAACAGTAGTATTTCTATATAATAACAACAGTAGTTGTTATTATAATCAGTAGTGTTTCTATATAATAACAAAAAAGTTGAAGAGACATTTAGGAAGTAATCCACTTATAAATGCACCTAAAATAATAAAATATCTAGGAATAAACTTAAGACCTATACTCTTAAAACTCTAAAGGGAGAAGCATGATATAGTCAATGTGATGAAAGGGAAAAAAACTGCAACCAAGAATACTCTACCAAGTAAGTTTGTCATTCAGATTTGAAGGAGTTATTAAGTTTCCCAGACAAACAAAAGATAAGGGATTTTATCACCGCTAAACCAGAATTACAAGAAACGTTAAAGGGATCTCAAGTGGGAAAAAAAGGGGTTATAATTAGAAATAAGAAAAATATGAATAAAAAGATATAAACTATGAGAACATATACATTAAAATGTAGAGAATTGGGTATAAAAAGAAGAGAAGGAGGAAAAAAAACTCTTAATTTTATTTGTGTTTTTTTCTTGTTGTTTCTTGTTTTTGTTTGTTGTTTTTAGAATGTGTTTGAACTTAAAAGACTGTCAAATTAATGTGAACTGCTATTTATTTATGATGTTATATATGAACCTTGTGGTAATCACAAACTCAAAACCAATAATGGATACACAAAAATAAAGAGAAAGAAATCCAAACAAAACAACATAGACACTCCTTGATCACAAAGAAAGAAAGCAAAAGAAAAAAGAAACAGAAAAGATCTACAAAAACAATCAGAAAACAAATCTTTAAAATGGCAATATGTACATACCTATCTATAATATCATTAAATATAAATGGCCTAAATGCTCCAATCAAAAGACACAGAGTAGAAAAATGGAGAAAAAGAATTAAGACCCATATATATGCTGACTCACCTCAAACTTGAAAAACCCACAGTGAATCATCCTCACTGGTGAAAAACTAAGGTCAGGAAGATAAGGATGTCCATTCTTACCACTTTTATTCAACATAGTACTAGATGTCCTAACCACAGCAATCAGACAAGAAAATGAAATAAGAGGCACCATATTGGTAAAGAAGTTAAACTCTCACTATTTGCAGATGACATGATATTACACACAGAAAATCCTAAAGAGTCCGCCAAAAAACTACCAGAAGTAATAAACAATTCAATAACGTGGCAGGATACAACATTAATACCCATAAATCAGTAGTGTTTCTATTTAGTAACAACAAAGTTGCAGAAAGAGACATTAAGGAAATAATCCACTTGTAAGTGCACCTAAAATAATAAAATATCTAGGAATAAACTTAAGACTTATACTCTGAAAACTCTAAAACATTAGTGAAAGAAATTGAAGATGACACAAATAAATGGAAAGATATTCCATGTTCATTGATTGGAAAAATTACTATTGTCACTATATATGTCCATATTACCCAAAGCAATCTACAGATTCAGTGCAATCCCTATCAAAATACCAATAGCATTTTTCATAAAACTAGAACAATACTAAAATTGTATGGTATCACAAAAGACCCCAAGTAGCCAAAACAATCTTGAGAAAGAATAAAGCTAAAGATATCACAATCTGGTATCAAGATATACTACACAAAGCTATAGTAACTAAAACAGTATGGTACTGACACAAAAACTTACACATAGGTCAATATAATAAGGAAAATATGGTATATATTGGTATACACACACAGAGGAATATTATATAGCCAGAAAACAGGATGAGATTGTGACATTTGAGTCAACATTGATGGGTCTAGAGAGTATTATGCTATGCTATAGGTCAGACTGAGAAAGACAAAACCATAAAATTCCACTCATAAATGGAATCTTAAAAAAAAAAAAAAGCAAAATCAGAACTATAAAGAGAAAGAACAAATTGATGCTGGTCAGAGGGAAGGGGGATATGGCATTGAGCAAAATATGTGAAAGGTAATGGAAGATAAAGGTCTCCAGTCACAGAATAACTAAGTCACTGGAATAAAAAGCAGAGTATGAGGAATACAGTCAATATTGTAATAGCAATTTAATCAGTTATATGTTAGCTATACTTGTGGTGACCATAGCATAATGCATAAACTTGTCAAATCAGTAAGTTGTACACCTGAAACTAATGTAACATCGTATGTCAACTAATTTCAAATAAAAACGTTTTTTGAAGGAGTGTAATAACAGAAAAAATGATCATCTCAATTGATACTGGAAAATGGTTTTATGAAATCTAATACCCTTTCATGATAAATA